CTTCTCTTCTCTTCTCTTCTCTTCTCCTTCCTTCTTATATTTCCTTCTCTCTTCTCTTCTCTTCTCTTCCCTTCTCTTCTCTTCTCCTTCCTTCTTATATTATATTTCCTTCTCTCTTCTCTTCTCCTTCCTTCTTATATTATATTTCCTTCTCTCTTCTCTTCTCCTTCCTTCTTATATTATCCTTCTCTCTTCTCTTCTCTTCTCCACCCTACCCTACCCTACCCTACTCTATTCTATTCTATTCTATTCTCTATTTTCTATTCTATTCTATTGTATTATATTCTATTCTCTATATTCTATTCTATTCTATTCTATTCTATTCTATTATATTCTCTATTTTCTATTCTATTCTCTTCTCTATTCTCTATTCTATTCTATTCTATCCTATTCTCTATTTTCTATTCTATTCTCTATTTTCTATTCTATTCTCTATTTTCTATTCTATTCTATTTTCTATTCTATTCTATTCTCTATATTCTATTCTATTCTATTCTCTATTTTCTATTCTATTCTCTATTTTCTATTCTATTCTATTCTCTATTTTCTATTCTATTCTCTATTTTCTATTCTATTCTGTTCTATTCTATTCTATTCTATTCTTTCACATCAGGAACCCTGGTGATGCAGTGGTTAAAATGCAGTATTGCAGGCTAATGACCGGCTAAAGGTTGACTCAGCCTTCCATCCTTCCGAGGTCGGTAAAATGAGGACCCGGATTGTTGGAGGGCAAATAGGCTGACTCTGTAAACCGCTTAGAGAGGGCTGTAAAAGCGTGAAGCGGTAGATAAGTCTAAGGGCTAGTGCTAGTGGTAAGTGCTATTTCATCAGACGCACAGAATAACTAAACCGATATAAAGGGGGGGCAGGGGGAAGACAGGGAAATATGGAGTGGTTTTCTGATGCAAGAGTGTTGCACCCGCAAAGTGTACAAGTACCTTATTAGCCATTTAATATCTTAAAAACAGATTGTTCTTGCTGAGTCAGCCTAAAAGCTTTTGATGCATACAAAATTCAACCATTTCTCACTCCGTGATGCTGTAAACGTCCAAAATGGTTACATGTAGAAAGAACAGCCTGTTCTCACTTTTTGCTCCGTTTCACCTTATTTAACTCCTGCATCAGCCAAGCCATTTTGTAGGTGCAGCTTATAAAACTTTGGCCTTTGAATCCAATGTGTTACAGAGAGTCCCAACTTAACCATCATTCATTTAGTGAAGTCACAACGGGACTGAAAAAAGAGACTAAGGACCATTTATTTTTTCACACTTAACGACCGCTGCAGCATTCCCCCGGGGTCACGTGATCAAAATTCAGCCGCTTGGCAACCGTCTCGTATTTATGACGGTGGCCGTGTCCCCGGGGGACCTGTGAGTCCCTTTTTCTGACAAGCAAAGTCAGTGGGGGAAGCCAGATTCACTTAACAATGGTGCTACTAACTTAACAACTGCCGTGATTCGCTTAACGATGCCGGCAAGAAAGGTCGTGAAATGGGGCAAAACTCACTGAACCGCTGTCTCGCTTAGCGACAGAAATTTTGGGGTCAATTCTGGTTGTAAGTCAAGGACCACCTGTAGTTGGAAAAAAAGTGCTGGTGGGGATTTTTTTGCTCATCCTGCAGTGTTGTTGTTGTTATTATTATTATTATTATTATTTGCCTATCTTTGGTCCTTGAAAAGAACTCAATAAGTGGACAAAAATGTCAGATCCAGTCTAAATCTCTGGCTGACAATAATAATGATGATGATGATGATGATGATGATGTTGTTGTTGGAAGGGATCTTGGAGGTCATCTAATCCAACCCCTGCTGAGGCAGAAAATCCTATAACATTTCAGACAAATGGCTGTCCAGTCTCTTCTTAAAAACCTCCAGTGTTGGAGCACTCACGGGATTCAAGTGATGCTCCAGATGCTGTGGGATTGCATCCAGGGCATCCTTTATTTATTTATTTAGTTATTTGATTGATTGATGAATTGATGGATTGATTGAAGTAATACAGCCATCCATCTCAACTGATATCTACAGGTAGTCCTCGGCTTACAACCATTCATTTAGTGACCGTTCAAAGTTACGACGGCACTAAAAAAAAGGGACTCGTGACCGTTTTTCACTCTTACGACCATTGCAGCATCCCCCATGATCAAAATTCGGATGCTTGGCAACTGACTCGTATTTACGACGGTCGCAGCGTCCCCCTGGGTCATGTGACCCCCCCTTTTGCGACCTCCTGACAAGGAAAGTCAATGGGGGAAACCGGATTCACTTAACAACCGCGTTGCTAATTTAACGCCTGCAGAGATTCACTTAACAACCGTGGCAGAAAAGGTTGTAAAATGGGGCATTCAAATGTGACTGTAAGTTGAGGGACGGTCTGTCTGTATGTGAGCCAGGAGGAGGAGTGAGGGGAGCGAATCTCCGCTCCGTATTATAAATTCCAAAAAAAAGGGAAACTGAATTTAGTTGCTACCGTAAGCGTTGTCTGAGGTAAGATGACAAGGCATTTTATGCGTGTGGGTTGTGTCGAAAGGTTCAACTGGCTTTTGCCCGTAAGTGCCGTTTGAAAATTTTTCAGGTAGCAGGAAGCATTCTTACAAATCTTTTCCTGCTTTGAGAAAAAAGGTCCTGAGGTAATAATGTCTTGCTTTCGTCTTCCTTTCCTGCTCTAGAATTGTAAAAAAAGAGGAAATTTGCATCGTGTGTTAAGAGTTTGCACAGACCTTGAGTTTCTGGAAAATGAATCGGGTTGGCGGCCTTTTCAAGAAAAAGCAAAATCTACGCCAGGTAAGAAATGTAAGAAAGCTTAAAAGGGAGCATTGTGTTATTGAGTAGATGATTTAATATGGTGGGAAATAGATAATAACTCTTAGGAAATAGAACAAGATTATATTCAAATAGATCAAATGTGCATTTTGGATATTATCGTTCGTTATGAAGTGAGAGAAGGGAAATTTTGGTGACCCAAAATCTAAAAATTATAAATATCAAAGGTTAAATTGGAATATTGATAAGAAATTAAAGATTGAGTGAAAATCCGTAAACAGGATACGGATTGTTTATTATGAAGATTGAATGTAATCAAGATATGTACAAGCTAAAAATGTATCGATAAATGCAATAATGATGATGTTCTTACTGAGTTGATATAATTAGAAATGTACTAACCTGAATATGAGACAGTAAACGTTAAGGGGAAAAGAGAAGAAATATTTGATGTGGTAACCTGAGATTTGCACTAAGATTTTGTTATTGAACGATTGATTAACCCAGTCGACACGTTGCTTTTTAAATATTCAATTGTAAAATTGGAAAATTAATAAAATATTATAGAAGAGACTGGACGGCCATTTGTCCGAAATGGTATAGGGTTTTCTTGCCTGAGCAGGGGGTTGGACTAGATGACCTCCAAGGTCCCTTCCAACTTTATTATTATTATAAATAAATAAAAAGAAATGTAGGAAAGCATTTCCAATAGGGACTGAATGAACGGCAGTGTTTAGTCTGGGGTACCAAATTGAGCAGGCATATCCAATGGCAGTTTATCTTGAAATCCCGGGAGTGACAGCAACACGCAGGGGTGTATTGAACAGGAGAAAATATAGTTCAGGGTTGAGCTGTGAGGTCCTTGGTGCTTTCCGAGCTTGGTTGAGGGTTTTTTTTTTTGGCTGACGTTTCATTGCCTGACTAGATACTGAATGCAAATAGCAAACTATATCTCGAACAAGGAATTATTAACTCAGACAAACAATTAAAGAGTAAACAGCCTAATCGAGGGATCGCCAAGGACGTTCCCACAAACACTGGTAGGTCAAGTCACTTCTGAATGAACCTCCTTCTCTTCTAACACTGATGAGATTACTTAGTTGGGTCATGAGACGTCTGCAAGAAAGCCACCAAGCTCGGAGAGCACCAAGGACCCCATCGTCCTCCTCCTCCCCCTCCTCCTCCTCCTGCTTCTCAAACCCCACCCCCTTCTAGCACTGATGACGTTACTTAGTTAGGTAAGGAAAGGTCTGCAAGAAAAGAAGCTCAGAGACCACCAAGGACCCCATAGTCTTCTTTGTCCTGCAAAGACAGGACCCCATAGTCTTCTTTGTCTCTGCAAACCCCACTCTCTTCTAGCACTGATGATGTTTCCTAGTTGAGTTGTGAAATGTCTGCAAGAAAGCAACCCAGCTCAGAGAGCACCAAGGACCCTACAGTCCTCCTCCTCCTCCTCCTCCTCCTCCTCCTCCTCCTCCTCTTCCTCCTCCTCCTCCTCCTCTCCCTTCTAATACTGATATTACCTAGTTGAGTAATGGAATTTCTGCAAGGAAACAACAAAGCTCAGAGAAACCCAGATAAGAAAGAGAAACCCAGATAAGCAGGGATTAACACCAGACAAACCCTCAAGTAGAAAATAATACCCTAATCGAGGAACTACCAAGAGGAAAAAAACACACACACACACTCCCACCAACACTGCCAGGGTAAGCAACTGCATATTAAAAAGCAGCAAACTCCATACTCCTTCAGACTAATGATGTTAACAGAAGCAATCAAGCTTAAGGAACACCGCGGACTCTACACAGGATTATCTATTCTGCTTGGGACTCTCTAAAAGCACTTAAGCGTTTCCACACGGCTGTTCTCCACCCATCACTGAGTCCACACAAAAATTAATTGGGTGTAAAATGTCTGAATTGCTGACCCGCGCTTTTGTTTCCGAGTCATTGGAAACAGATTCTCGATCAGTCTTTACCCACCTTGGGGCTGCCCTAAGAATCCAGGAGAAGCTCTACTTTTAAAATGTGGAGAACTAATTACTGCCTCTCTTACTAGCAGGAGCTGTCTCAAAGATGTGTTTTCACGAGGCAACTGGACTTTCTTGTTTTTCCTTTGAAGATGTTTCGCTTCTCCATCCCAGAAGCTTCCTCAGCTCTGACTGGATGGTGGGGGAATGGAAAGATTTATACTCCTTGCAGACAGCTGGTCATTTGCATTCCTTTAGAGAGTCGTTGAGGCCACCTGGAGGTTTATCTGCGTCCTGAGTAGTGCAAACGGGCGTGGAGCCTTCTTGGAACTGCTGAAAGGACTGTGTGTTGTAGTTCAACACTTTCAACAGTTCCAAGAAGGCTCCACACCCATTTGCATTACTCAAGTGACCCTGAGGATATAGGTAAGCCTCCAAGTGGCCTCAACGACTCTAAAAAAAATGCAAATGACCAGCTGTCTGCAAGGAGTATAAATCCTTTCATTCTCCACCATCCAGTCAGAGCTGAAGAAGCTTCTGGGATGGGAAGGGAAACGTCTTCAAAGAAAAACAAGAAAGTCCAGTTGCCTCCTGAAAAAGCATCTGTGGGTTAAACTCTGACCTGGATGACTGAGAATCTCCAGAGACGTTTAGCAGGAGATGGGGCTACGAGCTACAAACTTAAAAGAAATATTATGATTCCATGCAAGTGGGGAAGAGCTTTTAGTAAAAATGGGGTGCCTAAACAGATGTGGGATGGAACTTTAAGCCGATTGTCCTAAGAAGTTTTGTTCTCAGCCCAATGAGCTGAGGGACCCTAGTTAACAATGGTTTATCCCCATCGGAAGGATGTGGAAGCCCACCCATCTCAAAGAAAAAAAAAAAGGAAGATAAAGCCAGGACAAGTGAAAACCAGGGTTTATCTGAGTCGGTTTTAATTATTTTACTTAATTATTTTAATTTTATTTTAGACTGGCTTGCCGCCCATCTCACCTTAGAGCCTTCAGATTTGAAGCTCTAAAAACTCTAAAGCTTCAGTCACACCTGCCCTGGTCAGGTCCAAAATTGACTACCGCAATGCACTGTACATGGGGCTAACCTTGAAGGGTATCCGGAAGCTGTCCTGTCTCAGTTTCATCCACCTGGGCAAGCTGGGAGGGCCCTGTTGATTAAAGAACTTCGACGAGGGGGATTCTGGGAGTTGAAGTCCACAGGTTTTAAAGTTGCCAAAATCGGAAAACATGCTTTATATCGGTAGCCCTCGACTTGCATCTGTCCGTTTAGTGACTGTTCAACGGCACTGAAAACAGTGACTTACGACCGTTTTTTACGCTTGCCACCTTCGCAGCATCCCCCCGTGGTCAGGTGATCAAAATTCAAAGGCTTGGAAACTGGCATGTACTTAACGGTTGTTGCGTCCCGGGGTCAGGCGATTCCCCTTTTGCCGCCTTCTGGGGAGCAAAGTCAACGGGGAAGCCAGATTCACTTAACGACCGTGTTACTCACTTAGCCACTGCCGTGATTCACTTAACAAGCGAAAGCCAGACAGGTCGCGAAATGGGGCAAAAGTGGGAATTTGGGGCTCGGTTGTGGTCGTAAATCGAGGACTGCCTGTATCTGGGAATCTCTGCTAACTTTTCCTTCCTTCCCCTCCCTCCCCCCGGTCAATAGTGGGCGATTTGGACTGTCTTGCTCTGGAGTACTCTGACCCATGCTTCCCCGCCCACCTTCGAATGGAAAGACCCCAACACCTATAAGACGCTGCAGTGTCCGAAGTGCCCGCCAGGGACGAGCATGTCCAAGCCCTGCATGGAGGGCGGAGCGACGGTGTGCAAGCCGTGTGCCAACGAGCACTACACCGAGTATTGGAACTACCTGGACAGGTGCTTGTACTGCAGCGTCCGCTGTAACGACCTGGAGGTGGAGGTGGTGCCCTGCAACAAGACCCACAACAGGGTGTGCCAGTGCAAGCCGGGCTACCACGCCGAGTCGCTCTTTTGCATCAAGCACTCAAAGTGCCCGTCAGGAAGCGGAGTGCTGGAGCCTGGTAGGTACCAGGGCAGGGAGACAGCAAGCCTGCTCCCGGGGGGTGGGGGTGGGGGGGTAGGGGGTATAAACTGGGATCCAGCAGGAACAGGATGACATTCCTTGGAAATTTGGAGGGGTGGGAAGCCTGAAGGATCATCTCTTCACACGGGTGTTTCTCACTCTCCGCAATGTTAAGAGGAGTGACTTCTCCCTTCCTTCCTGCCTCTTTCTTTCTTTCTTTCTTTCTTTCTTTCTTTCTTTCTTTCTTTCTTTCTTTCTTTCTTTCTTTCTTTCTTTCT